TAGATTTCACGGGTACTACATACGATAGACATTGATTCCTCGTGTATTTTTGTGCGCTCAGATATGGCGTGCCGTGCTTAGAAGCAACAGAAGGCTATATTATGAGTTTTGAGATACGGAAACGGATAGCGTAGATATCACGTTTGCAAAAACCTGCTTAGTATGCAATATTAAACACCGAATAATTGCTTGCCACCCTCAGTTTGACATGACTTGACACAAACGCCATCCACTTTCATTATTGCTTGCCGGTCGATTCACAATTTCGTATTCGTGGTGGTGCTATTGCCTACACATGCATGAAGTCGTCCATTATCAGTAAGAAACAGACGATGACCAAACCGACTATCAAGTGCCTTTGGGACCGAGAAAGGGTTTCACTATTGATACATGGAATATCGATACTGAGAGCACGGAGAGCTTAGAAATTCCATTCGTACTGATACCGCACTCAGGTTTGGTGCTTCTGTTATCGATTCCGCTAGACTGATGAGTACATATTCACTTCCACGATGCAAGATACACCATCCGGCGCTGACCGCGTTCCATTATACTTTGCGGATGCTGTTTGACCGCGTAGTGAGTACGGCTTCTCGAAGCCCTCTACAGTATACCAAGAACACTAAGTGTTGACCACAACTTTGGAGTGCTGTACAATTTTACAAATAAGTAAAATTGTCCTCATCCTGGAACGTCCTTGCATGGTCAGGACAAAAAATAAGGCGTTTTGTGTCTGCTTTCGAGAGGCCGGGGCGTTAAAACGCGTTTGTTTGGATAAGGGATGCAAAATGAAAGCGTTGGACTAGAAAGATCCAGTAGTTTGCATGAAGCCAATCCTTTGTATATACAATAGTATAAAACACGTGAGCTGTGTAATGACTTATTGAAAGGTGATGTTTTTCGAAGGCTTCCATGTCGATCAAAAATCCCGATTGTTCTCTGCTCTACCGCGGACGTTTAGCACTACACTCCATCAATGTTGAAGATGATCAAAATCATCGAAGACATCTAGCAGGGAATCCTGGTATGTTGTGATCCGGCTCAGATGAAGAAAAACGTGGTCATTTATGCCCGAGATATTGCTGACCATCGTAACCATATTTTTGTAAATCAACATTTCTGAGAATCAGCATCCTCTTAGCAGCATTCCATATGTATGTAAGATCATACTAATAGTGGCTTGTGTACGATTCGGTTGAGGGTAAAGATTGAGTGCTGCTAAGTAGCATATATCCATACTCGTTTCAGGGATGCGAAGATGCGGATGATTGCAGGCAAGGAAGAAAGGGCTGAATGCTTTCTATATGGACCTCTACCATTTTTTTGACTGCAGCAACAAATATTTTGGCTCTATAAAGCTTCTAAAGCAGAATGCCCTTCTCTTTGATGTAAAAGATACGGTAGAAACGATCCACACTAGTGTAAAAGCGCAGTGGAATTCTCACATTCGTAGTAATGGCAGCAAATATAAACCAAAGGAAATGTTTTCACTTTTGACACGAGAATAACGTTTTTCAGAACTCCGCTCGTCTATATTTTTACTCTTCCTACAAAGTGACAATAGGGCGTCTTGATCGAAAGGCAAGTAGGGTGCTCTAGTAGCGGCGATATGGTCAAGTCCTTTCTATTTATGTCTTGTAATTTTACCCCACATACCAGTTGTATCGATTTCAAAGCAATGCAATGACGAATATACTCACCGGCACGAAGTAGATAGAAGGAAATATATTTGTAATGGAGTGAGAACCTTGTCATTCTAGCTGAATTTGCATCAACATCGTAGTGCATTGAGCTTGCGCATCGTTGTACACTGTTGTAGGGGCACTTGATTTGGTACACCATAAGGAAGCTATTAGCTTCGATGGTTGTTCTTGGCTACATCCATGAGGAACGCATCATCAGAGAACGACAAACGCTCCTTCTCATTATCCAGTCGTATAACTTCGATCGGTAGGATCGTACTGAGACGCTGTGTAATCTGTGAAGGACCATGAAGAGGAAGTCCACGTCTCACTGCACGGGCTCATTAGGCCATCGACAACCATACAATTCAGATAGATACAATGTGATTATCAAGAACACCTCGGCTGTCAGGAAGCCAAATAAAAGCGAACAATAAGCTTGGATGCTATTGTGCTTTTTTCAGAAGAAGAAGCAAGACCATCACTTCACACAAGACAAACTACCTAGCGGTAAGGTAATTCACTGGAACCTCGACGGCACGGCTTTCTGAATTACCTAGCGGTAAGGTAATTTACTGGAACCTCGACATCACGGTTTTCTCGTAATACACAAAACAATTCACCAAGTTACCCAACGTAACCGATCCAATCTGTCGAGATGAGTCTCTTTGCAGCTCGCCCTACCCGTTCAACTTGTCCTTACAAGCCTCTACTAAATACGCGCAACCGCTCCTCCTAGGGGCCTTCATGAGATCTTCGGCGTCCGTTCCGCACAACCCAGTGACTTTACGCCAAAGATCATACACCGGCACTCACGCAATGATCACAGGACGCAGTTTACTATCGAATCTAAAGACTTGCGATATTACGATCAAATATGAAGACTTACGGCTGCCGAGACCACCGCTTGTCAATCGACTCTGACGTTAGCTATCAGCTCGGTGCACCGTGTACCTGAGCCAGCTCGACTCACTAGCTGCTGACATAAAAACCTACACCTATCGAATACGTGTATCGTCACGGTAGGAATCATCCAGTGTGCAGGTAACTGCAGAGAGAATATGCGCTTAATTTTGTAGAAAAGGTTGGGAAGGCTGGTGTGTACTCGTTCATATTCTTTCCATATCGTAGGAAAAATAGGCACGGCTCTTCGACGGTTCCTTCTTCCTTTGCGCATATTAAATGATGCGATCTATCGACCATTTACCTCTCTTATTGATCTATAGGGAGGCCGATTCGTGCTAACGCATGTAAATGTCCATTCTTTTAGGTGTCTAAGCATACAGCAGCTTCTGAGCAGGGCACACCTACCTCCCCCACCCGTCAGCTCTTACCCAATCGGTGTGAATGTGGACCTGCCCAGTGGTTCATGTCGACGTCGATATCTAATGAATATCAAAAACGACGCTTGTTGCTAGGTCAAAGGAGAGATAGAAGACCAAAGAACATTCTTCATGTAGCACGTCATCTGCGCACTGCAGCTGTCTGCAGCTCCAATTTCTCATGGCTTCGTTAATCACAGATCCAGATCACACGAAATTGGCCGAAAACGTTTCCGCATCACCAAAACATGTCGAACGTTTAGCCCTTTCCAGAAGGAATCATCATCCATCGCTCATACTAAGCGATGATGCGTACAAGGACTGATTTGCCAACAAACATTCCTCAAATGGATACGGTACGTAGATGATGCTAGTGCACCATCCATAAGGACTAATGTCGTGACACAGTGTGATGCGGTGACACAAAAAATGATCAGCACCGGAAGCAACATCTAATAGCGGAACAAAAAGCACGCATCTCGATTTAGCTGCTTCCCACCTTGCATTCAATGAACATGTCGCCGCACAGACATTTTATGTCGAGATTTTCCTGCAATTTGTTTCCTTTATCTGGTAGCAAAGGAATTACGCATGAGAACCTCACACGTGTCTTTCCATTGTAGTGCTATTCCAAGCTCATAACGAAAATTGCAATCATCTTGGTTTCATTAACGCACCAATACCGCTCCACTGCTTCACAGACCAACGATTTTTCATGTGAGGATCCTTTCTCGTTGCTGTTGTCTTGTCAATTTCTAGGCCATTTTTCTGACATCACCTTGACATTAAATGAAGATGGTCGATAATGTGATGCCGAATTGGTCTTTTACGGATGTAACAGGGAAAGCTTCTTTTTGGAATCAATTGAAATCTATAACAGCACGAATCCAAACATTACAACCGAAGTGGCATTCGTGGTTAGTAAGATAGGGAAACTGTTTTGGTGACGATGTTGATACCGCTTATCAAGATTTGATCTGGTCCCATCATCCTCGCAAGGACACCGCTCATCCCACTTCGCCCACTCTGTGCTGTGCGAGCAAGGTTAGCTTTGACTGGTTCATGAGCAATGTTATCTGTGAAGGCCATGTTACATGAATCAAAGGTTAGGCACACGTACAAGACACATGCATTACATTTGAATGAGGAAAGACAGACAAGCAAATGAAGTTCACTATAGAGTCGTAGGACATATTTTATTGACGTACCAAAGGTTAAACGTTGATTTCAACTAAGACACTGACCGACATACTTCAAGTTAAAAGTACCTACGTGACTAGGAGATGCTTAGTGCGTTGGGACGTTTGGATGTTTGGACTACAAGGTCATCCTTATTAATGATTTTTACGTCCCAATAACTGATCCGTTCGGTTGCGCGCTTTTTGCACTGAATAGTGTATGTGAGGTCTTGGCGGCTGTCACGGTCACTATCCTCAGTGTGGGTACTAGTGCAGCCCAGCTCTACCAGCAACCCGCACTGAATTTACCCCCTCACGTTCGGGCATGACGGACTCATGCGAGCTAGATAGAAGATCAGTCCATGTAAAAAAGGTTGCACTTGCACCCGCTAGTATAATTTTCAGCGCGTAAAAAGCACATGGGCACGAGAGCTTTCGCATGATGGCAACGTACGAACTGCAGTCTCTCTATCACATGTACACCTGCCTTTCTGCATTCCCTTGATCTTGCATCAATTATTCATCGCCGTCGAGCACAGCAAAACTGGACAATCAAAGACACTGATGGAAGTCCCCCAGATGGGGAAGCCCGAACATCATCAGGTATCCGCAATTGGACGACCCTTTCTAGTTCTGAATAAGACCTCTTTGTAGAATCGAGGATACCAAGGAGAGAGGTGACGAAACGCCAGTATCATTATCGGGAATCCACAGCTATAAATTTATTCGCCACAAAAGACAAGCTCATCTTAACCTCCAAATCGCTATGTTGCTCGACATGACCATACCTCATTCCAGTTCTCGCCTTGGTCACTCAAATGAGTGGTAAGCACCTGTCTTGCTTGATATGCGTCCCTGAAGTCGTTCCTTACTCGGTTGTTTTCGTGCGACAGCCACCCACGAGGTGATCGAGCTGCTCAGCAGCAGTGACGAGGCATCTTCAGGGCTGCATCGGTTAGCCAGGAGGAAGCTGCGCACGAACGCGCAACTTAAGCCTGGACATCATCCCCCACCACCTTCCTCGGGTGATGCTCGGGGCAACACTAGAGTTCGGAGGACGAGGATGAGTTCACGTAGAAGCGAAGCCAGTCAGGAGAGTCAGGGGAGTGAAACAAGAATGGAACACCCAAAGCAATTGCGCCGTCCACCGCAGCTGAAACAAGCTAAAGTTGCACCAACAACAGCTACCGGTGCTTTGACAAGATCGAGTCGTCAAGGTCGTGGTGGAGAGACGCAGCAGATCAAGGAAGCTATGAGCTTTTGCGAGCTCCAGGCTCAGGAGCAGATGATGGCGCGCTTTCAAGCGCAGAATCGTAAAAAAACACCAGACAAGCAGAAAGAGCCGAGCAGTACTTCCGTGGCAGCTGGTCAAGTAGCTAGAAAATCTGGACGATTGAAAGGGAAGAATGGGGTCACTGCCTTGCAGGCAAAGAAGGGAGCGGCTCAACAGAGTCATGCAAAGAAAGGTCAAAAGCCGGTCTTTTCGGTGCGCGTGGGTGATGAGCAGTACGACAGCGTGTACGACGAGGAAGAGGAGAGAGAGCAGGCTGAAAGGGTCTTTTGTACGGAAACCCCGGTGCGACGAGAAAAATGTTTGCGGAAGCAGAAGTGGGGAACTAAACGTGGGGTCACGTGGGCGTCGGAAAGCGGTTGTAAGAGTATGGACAAGGTATCAGTCTCTCGAAAAAGTGGCGACGATCATCCCAAGTCAGGTCGGAAACAACGAGGAGTCCAAAACATGGCTTTTGTTACGAGACCTGAGCAGCAGCAAACTACAGCAGGGCGCAAACAGAAGCAGCAAGCTTTCTCAATGACACGACAAAGTGACTCGAGTCAAGCGGATGAGCAGGAAAGCGAACAGGAAAGTGTGCAGGAGAGTGGTGAGCCTAGTGGCAAAGAAAGCGAAGATAACGAAGCTGAGGTATCCACACTGCCAAGGTACTGGCGTCAGGAGAAGGCGCCTTCACAGTCAAAGTCGAAGTCAAAGGCTATTTTCGTTCGGTCCACAGCGGTGCATTTGAAAAAGCGGTCGCGTGAAAAGTTAGCGTCTGTTTTGCCGCCGCGAGATGTTTGTGCTTCTGAAGCTGCTGAACACACTGCTCAAGATGACACGAGTGCAGCGGAGTCTGTGCCGGGAATATTGTCCTGGGAGTTGCAAGAACAGGAAAAAATGTTTTCACGGTTACGTGCTCAAAAGAAAAGTGTTTCATCTGATGTGTCGTCTACAGACCAGAAAAAGAGGCATTACGCATGCGGTCCAACCAGCGCGGATATGACGAACGGTAGCAGCTGTCGTGCTCGAATGGGTGGATACCAGAAGAAAACGTACAGTATCCCATCTTTGTCATCCTCTTTCTCTCCGCCGCGCTCTCGAAATGGATTTCCCGCATCAGATGCGAAATCCGTGGCTGGCGCTGAGTCCACAGTACCACCTGTAGAGATCCCGACGACTCCGGTGGTACATTCGACAACCTGGCGACGCCTAGTTATTGAGAAAGCACCTCCTAATATTATAGTTGGTACATCGGCAAGTCCGTATGCCTATGGTGTGTATTGCACTGGTCCGGATCCATATTTACGACCATTGACTAACGATGTTTGCTTAGTAGGATTTGACAGACCGCTTTGGACATATGACACAACAGGACTGCTCGAAGAGGAATGCAAATTCAGAGCAGTGGGTTTGGGCACTGCTACAACAGAGGTCAATATCGAGAACCAGGTGAGCAAGCAGCTAGCTCCGATGATGCGCTGGACGTCTGATTTGAGCAGTGGTTCGTCCTTATGTTTGTACTGAGTTCGTAGCCGCCAAGTCAATCTGAAGTCAATGTCCAAGTACGATACTTGGTGTCTCAGGAGCTGTTACGCATTCAAAAGTACCATGTGCAGCGAGTGCGCCATACTTTGAGAAGTATGCGACAACAGCTGGCCGAATATTTCAAGAGTCTTCAGGAGCTGCGTAGTGAAAGATGTAGAAGGTTGCGGTGGTTGGAGATTGCGAGTAAGTACTCCCGCGTACGTCCAGATGTATTTCCTTTTGGTCTAACACGATTGACCTGTAGACGATGCTGACTTTCGGTTGTACGCGTGTCTGGCTAAACAGACTACCGCACCTGGTCAGATGTTTCTGTGGGTGAGCGTGTTACAGCCAAACGTTTGTTGCAAAATTCTATGCATATAGGTCTGCCGTACAATTGTTTAGTCGGCGCCGTGCGGTACTATGTTCAGCAGGACAAGCCGCCTTTCGAATCTGTGGTGCACCCGGAAACTGTCATCTATTTGCCCAACGATATTACTGCCATTTGCCAGTCTTTCACCATGATCGGTATTCGTAAAAATGCTTTTGTCGAGGAGGATCCAATCTTGCGGTATGTGCCCTACCTAGGCGATGGGCAAGAAATGGTCATTGACAATGATCTCTACTCGGGAACAACGATGAGTAGAGAGCGTCAAATTGCGGTGTTTGGAGAGGGCACAGAGCTAAATGTCATAAAACCTAGTGCGCGGGATGATGAAATATTGGAGTGCATCTTGCGAGTTGTCGTTGAAAAATGTGGAACGTCCGAGCACGTGTTTCGGGCGCTCGAGGAGGCCGGCTTTAGTCAGCCGCGCATTGACTACTTGGGAATGAAAGAACAAGCTAGAGCCACAGAAGTTACTGCTGTACGAATCGCAAAGGTAAAGGAACTCGTTGCTGTACAAAAGAAATCATTTACAACTGAACAAAGTGGAAATACTGTCGCCGGAACGAATGCTTGTAGAGCCCTATACAACCTGGCGCAGCATCAATGGTTTTTACAGAACACATCAGAGCACCAATCGTTAGGTGTCAGACTACAGCCGCCGTTGTCCGTTTTCGAGTCCAATTATGCTGATGCTCCAGAAGCGCACGGTATACGCGATCGCGCTACCTATGAAGGCCTGGTTGAATGGCACCGAGATCTGTTCTGCCGGCGCTGCTATTCGTACGACTGTTCTGAGCACGGTATTCAGAATCCTCAGCGAAGTGCTCGTGCCGATCCTATCTATCCGATGGTATTTGCACTGGACGTTCTGCTTGCCGGACAAGAAACGATGAGCCGAGAAAGCGACCTGGGTGCTGACGAGTGCAGTCCAAAGGATACAATGCTATCTTTAGAAAGTGAAGAGGCTATAGTACTTGCAGGCAGTGATTCATCTTCATCTTTGGACGATGACGCGCAGAATAACACGAACCAGCCAATATTGGTAGACCAGCCTTCTCCGCAACCTGCTGCACTCAACCGCCGATCAGGGCGGACACAGACTCGAATTAGCTCATTAGCTAGCAAGAGTCTGCAGTCCCAGGAAAAAATGCTAGAAATTCAACGACTTGCGAATTTGGAGAGGCAAAGAAAGCGCCGTGAGAAGTTTTCGCGAGCTCCAGATAACTCGGAGTACCTAGATGATGCGTACATTCCTGCCGTCACAGCTACGCAGCAAATGCTGCTGTCCGAGACCCAGCCTTGTGGTCCTTTCTGTAGGCTGTCAGCGGGTGATATAGACCAAAGGGATAGCTGCGGACCAATGAGGCGCATTGATGCTGTGCTAGTTCGGAAACTCGCGGCAACGCTTGGGCCTAATGCATGCATGCTTTCAGCGATGGTTCGAAGCCCATGGTGCACCTGTGCACAGATTTTCAATTTTTTGACGGAAGAGAAAAAACGAAATAATAGTGGAGATCACTCAGGAAATGAAAACAACTTGCTAATGGCCACACAAAGACAGCAAAAAGGCCGACACAGTGCTGTTGCTGGTTTAAATAGGTCGCTATCGAAGCGTGCTCGTGAACATCGTAGCTTTGACCACGAGAAAAAGTTGAGCTACGAGCCATGCAATCACGAAGGAGTATGTGATGGAACATGTCAGTGTACTCAGCGCGGCCACTCGTGCAACAAGACCTGTTCATGTTCGCGTGAGTGCCCCAATCGGTTCCAAGGATGTAAATGTTCAGCTGGCAAATGCTGCACGTTAGCATGTCCGTGCTACACTGCTGGACGAGAGTGTGATCCCGATTACTGTTTTCATTGTGGAGCCAGTGACGCAGCAGTGATGGCTTTCCACCCTACCCTGAGCTCTCAAAGTTGCTACGACCTCCACATTTGCTGCAACGTGAATATGCTGCGAAACAGTTTCCAGAAGAAGATATGTGTTGCTTTTTCTGCGACACACGGGTGGGGAGCGTTCGCGCTGGAGCCGATTCGCAAGGACGAGTTTGTGCTAGAATATACCGGCGAGTTAATCACGGACGAAGAGGCGGAACGGCGAGGTGCTATCTACGACCGCAAGTTTGTGAGCTATTTGTTTGGCGTGAACAGCGAGTACGTAGTTGACGCGGCAAGAAAAGGTAACAAGGCCAAGTTTGCTAATCACCGGACGAAAAAAAAGGCGAACATGAATGTAAAGGTTATCGTTTCCAATGGAGAGCACCGGATCGGGCTGTTCGCTCGAGAGGCGATTGAGGTGGGCGCTGAGCTGTTCTTCGATTATGGCTATACACATGACAGCGCCCCGAATTGGAGCCATCATGGCAGGTCGATGTCCGAGCAGTTTGTCTGTGATGTTATCGACGACGAGAACGAGTTGGAGTACGTACTTGATTACTGAAGAATCAGGTGATGGTGTTTTAATTTGGTGGATTGACGTTGTGTGTGCTGTTGTGTGTTTGAGTAGACAATAAAAACTGTGGGGAAGTTCCATCGCAACGTCCTTCATCTGTCGTGGTAAGGAAAAAATATAGTGGGAATACTTTGTACGTCGTCTGCTACGGCGGGCACTGACCGGCTGCCAAGTTGGCTGAAATGAACGATGATATGAGCTCGTAACGTTGCTCTTTTCTCTCGCTACGTTGTATTGGTCAATGCCACACTATAGCTTCTTACAGGGACAGGTTCAAGTCGAGACATTGCCGAATTGGGTCGAAACACCACCTTTCAATGTTTGCTGTTGTCACTCACGCTAAGCTTATAGCTCTGACCAAGAACTCAATGTCTGGACCAAGGCGGGCTTGTGATCACGTGCTGTCGCATGGGTATATCATATTGCAACAACAGCGCAGCACCTTGCCTATCTTAACCTATCGAAATTGTGGGACTGTAAGGATAGGCCGTCCCTAAGAATGTCCAAACCGGGATTGCGCATGTGGCAGTTTTAGTTTATTGACAAAGTGATGGAGCAAACCTACGCAAGGTTCGAGAGCCCAGACATCTTTCTGCTAACCAGGCAAGCGCAGAAGTATAGGACTCTTGACACCGACACAGAAATTCCCGGTTTCGTAACATGCCTTCCACGTACTACATGTCATACTGAAGTAGTCTCGCACGGATCCAGCAAAATTGCCTACCGGACAATCAACAGGTCTAAATGCAGACCGATCAGACCGTATGTGATTGCGGATCACGATGACTTGATTTAGTACTTCGCAGCTAACATGACCATCTCAACAAGATGCTGATGTGAATTTTATCCACTTCTTGGTGGCTAGAAGTGTACGTCTTACCTCGATTGTACTCACGCGGCAGCAAAGGAAGATACAAGAAAATATGCACGATACTGGATGGAAAAGCGCACAACGTTTCCATTAAGAGCGAGCTCGATTTTTTTGTTTTAAAAAATCACCTGTCGTGTAAATGGAAAACTTTGCGTCCTTTGTCAAGTTTACTAAGTTTCGGACGTCTGCTTTGCAGTGAATTGTTCAATCCAAAAAGTTAGTATGATATCATGCGGACGCTCGTCTGTACTTATAGCACCCTTTTTACAGCATGCAATGTATCAAAGAAGTAGACGAGCTCGCACCCCTTTTTCTTCTATATCCGCACCCTTTCTGGCTTAATTCTACCACTGCACCCTCTAGCGTACACTGCCTCACGCCTTTTCCACAGATAGTGTTTCTACCCATACTTAAAATGTACTATAACACCGTGTCGATAGCAAAGCACAAGAACCAAGTTCTAACTGTTTACGTTTGACCGCAAAACAGGTTTAGGTAACAAATGGTATACTGGTTTGCGCTGCCGTATCGAAGCATACGCCTCCCTTTCATCCCATCGACACAGCAAGCGCTCGTAAAACACAGGTTTCATCGCTGTCAAATAATCGAAGGAGATGGGATGGTTGGCAACTGGTGAACATTACCAAAACCTTCTTCCCAGCGTCTCAGTGTAAATGTACGCTTACGCAATTTGGACTAAACTCCGTACGTCTTATTACTGTTGGAGGCTAAGAATTTCGTTCGTAGTGCCTCGGCTGATGGCAGCACTACTTTTTGTTTTTACGTCTCGTCTTTTCCACAGGCACGCATCTGGACAGTCCAGTCATATACTGCTTTTTCAGAAGTACGGAATCGATTAAATCACAGCGGGTTTCTTCGTGACCATCTCATTTGACTCCTGGCAGGGTGCGTTCGTCTTAGCGACAACTCTAAAGCGTGGGCTGTGATTAAAATGGAAATAGGTGTGGGTGTAGGAATTTCCTATTTCGATGTTGCTGAATCGTGGCAAATGTTTTAAGCGTATAACGCTTTCATCATCTCTACAACAGAACGCCTGAAAACAGATATGGCTGCTATATTAGGAAGCCGTTGTGAGAGCGAATATCACATCCGTCATAAATGTGGCGGACTTCAATACTGTACCAAACAAAATCAGTCGAGCAGATCGATTCGATCGATCCGCTGAGAAAAATGAGCAAATGACTTACAGTAGGATCTGCCCTCATCAACATCGATAGATCGAATATGTCCGAACATTGCACTACCATCCTCGAGCTACAAAAATAGAATAGTCATGAATGATATCAGTATGCAAAGTAAATCAGTAGACATTTCTGTGACACCGCCAAGATAAGGTCAAACAAAGCGAGGTGAGTGGTCTTCTTGTGTGTCCAAGTATGCATCACCATACCTACATCGTACTTTGCTGTAGCAAATAAATGAACGCACTTATAATCTGAGCTCTGACAGACACTAAACAAACTATAACTAAAGCCAGAAGCCTAAATTTTTGCAATAACATATACCCATGTTGCGTTGACGTCTGATAAATAATAAAACATTTATACTAAATTTACAAATGAAGCACGAAATATACGTATGTGTTAGTAGATGCCTTGTAAAGAAATGCAGATGATGTCGAATGTATACGTTTGTTGTTGAAGAAATGCGAATTCTGTCGTAGTTTGGAACCCGCTTCTCGCCTAGATCCTCCGCTCGCCTGACCTGATGAGCTCGAGCTCAAAGAAAAGCTGATAGACAACGTACGAACTCGCCACGCTGCCAATAAATTTAAAATCGACCGACTTCTTATTTGAATGAGTCTCCAGCCGGTGTGAAGGGGACGGGTATGTGCGGCCGTAGTACGGCATTTACCTGGACAGAATGACAGTAAAAAAATTACGGACCGGAATAAATTCATGTTCTCAGGGCTACATTCATGTCGATAATGAGCACGTTAACACAAATTTGGAGAACATAGGCATTGTAAGCGAAACATTCTGCATTTTACAAGAAGGTTATCGACTGAACCGTGCTGGTTTCTGTCGATAGAATCGACGAAACGGCTCTTACAGATGTTTGGCAACTCTCGTCACTCACGAAAACACGGAGGCAAGCTTTGCATCAAAGTTTTGACCTCAGTGCATGTAAGGTTTGGATAGGATACCGCGTAGCAGGGTGGAAAATCAACGATCGGGTGGCCATCAACTTTCTGACCGGCAGAAGAAATACGGAAGCGGTTTAGTCTTACAGGGTGCATGCTGACTCAAATACCAACATTTGCTTTGAGGATTGATCAAACATATAGCACTCTATGCTGCTATCTTGTTGTGCTATATCTATCGTGTTTGGTTCCTCTGCGTTACACCCAATAATAATGAAAATATGCACGTAACAAATATGCGACATACGGTAGCCTTACTTACTCGTCAGCAGACGTCATGGTGAGAAATTAAGTGATAAGCAGATGTAAAGCCGATCTGAGGCCATTAGACATCCGCAAAAGCTTGATCTCTCTTATATCTCAACGACGGCCGGTACGAATATCAAGTCCAAATTATCATTTCTGTGTGAGCCAAGACGAGTGTTAGTTCACACGCGTTGTATTCATCCTTGGGACTTTTTCTATTTTAGCCTTTAGATGAATTCTGTAATTTAAAGAAATGCTTGTGTATACAAGCGTTATTTCTAATTGCAAAATGCTTATCCAGGAATGCTCTTAGAATCACTCACGGTATCAGACGCTCGAAACAATACATTGTGACTCGTCCAATGGAATTGACAACGTTTACCTGTTTTAACTTTTCAACAGTTAACCATAGTGCTTAGAATGTATTCCATTGACATTGACCACATATAACAGAGTAAAAACTGTAGTATGACCAGGCAGCCATAATTTATTGTGAACGACGTGTTAAATGAGGTCACTGCGATGATGTGAAGGAGGAGCATCCAACATCGGCTGGTTATACATACATACATATAATCATCACAACAAAGTGACCGTGCGGGTTTGCACTCTTTGGATGGCAAAAGCTCTGTTCAATGTTGTTTCCTGGTTCAATAACTACTCCATAATATATCACATCGCCCTCTTGAAGATCATCAAGTTGAGTTCACATGGGAGCTCTACAAGCAGTTGCTCGCATCTAACATTATTCGCTCGATCTATATAGGGCAGATCTGTAAAAGTATCACTATCGTCATCGATCTGAAAAAACTAAAGCTTGACTTGACACCTGCATTGTCATATACCTTGAACTTTTGTTTTATCGGCGCGTCAATGAGGCTATAATGGGTTCATTGTGCAAAGAAGTAGCGATATTGCGACCACTGCAATCGTCTTCAGCCTTCCTTTCCAGCTAGACTTTTCAAAAGGGCTAAATGGCATACAATACGCATGCGGTTGTCCATCGCCTGCATATATCCTCGGGACAGATTTGCACCGCTGCGGTCATATGTAGCTATTCACTTCGACCGGAATCCGCACTTTTGTAGTCCTGAACGATATCCTAATCCAATAGCACGACAATAAGGTGCGAGCAGATATTTCTTATAGCTATAAGATTCAGCCTAAGGAGGACGGATTTTACGTTATTGTCATGCGGTCAATGGTTACCGAGCTTTATACTTATCCAGCGGTACCACAATACAAAATTACGAAAGTGGAATTCAGTCTTATCGAAGCTGGGCAACGCATTACACATCGAATCGATTTATTGAGGGAATGGTTATCTACATACACACACAATGCTAACCTCAAACCCCAAATGGCGGTAGCCATTATAAGTATCCGTTGATTGACTTAGAAGTAAGTCATATTATGGCACCAAAAACACCGCCACATACCTAATTCCAGTACAATTACCTTTTCTAATCGTGATAGTATTACCTTTTAAATTATGTCGATCTGAACAAGAATGCACCACAAAAAATCATGATCGGAAACAAGACCCCGCTTAGCGATCTGCCGCAATTTTGAAGAATTCTCGAGGTATTGATGTATTATGGACCGTTGAATACGTGTAAGTTTGGGAATAAGTCCTTAGGAATTGAACCTGCCACCCTCAAGCACTCTACCTATCTAATTTGTGATCTCTTGCATCGCGTCCCGTGTCGAATGTACACACCATTGGATATTGGAGCTTCCTGACATCAAACCCGCCAGTTGTACAGGCTACGTCTTTTTC